TTTCTGGTCAGAAACTAACCCAGATCACAGACCTGACTCATCTGAGTTAGCAGCATTTCTGGTAGCTCTGTTTTATTTTTCCTGGTGCGCTTGCTAACTCGTGGACATAGCTGTAGTCTGTCAGAGGACATGGAGGATCCGAGTTAATTTAAACCTCTGATTCAGTGTGAGGCTACAGATCTTTAAATTGGGTGGATCAATAACTGACCAGCTCTAGATGAAACTCAAAGGAGATGAAACAATTGTAAGAACAAGAAATAGGTTGTGCACTTACTGGACGGTGGTGGAAATCTGCAGACGCCGGACACCTGGTGTGGGGAACTGGCGAGAGTTGATGTAAGAAACTTTCCGCACAGCAGTGTTTATGTTTTCCAAGTCCTCCCACTCCATGACAAGGATGGACTGAGCCGGGTTAAAGTGGAACTAGAACAAATAAAAAACAAACAAATCATCCACAGACATTAGATGAATAAATAAAATTGTACAGTTGTGACCTTGATTCATCTGCTTTGAAACCTATATTTGTTTTCAAGACCATGGACCTTTATTTAAAAAAAGATGGTGTTCAAGATGGCAACCCGTCCTGCTTAACTGTTAGTCTGTTTGTTTAGTGTGTTCATCTACTTTGCGTTTCTTTTATTTATTTTTTAAATTTTTTTAATAAACTTTCTGCTAATAGCACCACTCACCTCGTGTTTTTTTTTTGCATCGTCTTTGTTTTCGGACCCTACCACTGTTTGGACCACATTCCTGCTTACTTTCAAAGAGCCGCTATTCCTTGGAGGGAGTCTCAATGAAACACGCGTTTGAAACAGCAACAGAATAACACTGATAAACATGTTTCTTTCCAGATCCAATCAACTGGTCTATTCATTAAAAGTGGTGTCCCAAGCTTTGGTTGAGTGTTACCCGCCAGACCCTTCATTAAACACCACACAAGACGCCCCTCCAGACCCCCTTGTAGTGAACTTAAGCTGATGTCACGACTAAGTTTAAGGTCAAAAATCTTGACCTTAAGAACCTTGTGGGACAGGAACTGTCATTTCATTGATTTGAATCCAGAAATACAGGTTCACCCATCCTGAGACTTTCTTTC